AAGCCCATTCAAAATGGGCAAAGGATATGAACAGACACTTTACAAAAGAAGACATACATGAGGCCAACAAACATATGAACAAATGCTCATCATCACTGGTCATTAGAGAAATGCAAATCAAAACTACATTTAGATACCATCTCACGCCAGTTAGAATGGTGATCATTAAAAAATCTGGAGACAGCAGATGCTGGAGAGGATGTGGAGAAATAGGAACACTTTTACACTACTGGTGGGAGTGTAAATTAATTCAACCATTGTGGAAGACAGTGTGGTGATTCCTCAAGGACCTAGAAATAAAAATTCCATTTGACCAGCAATCCCATTACTGGGTATATATCCAAAGGATTATAAATCGTTTTACTATAAGGACACATGCACACGAATGTTCATTGCAGCACTGTTGACAATAGCAAAGATGTGGATCCAACCCAAACGCCCATCGATGATAGACTGGACTGGGAAAATGTGTCACATATACACCATGGAATATTATGCAGCAATCAAAAACAATGAGTTTGTGTTCTTTGTGGGGACATGGATGAATCTGGAGAACGTCATTCTCAGCAAACTGACACAAGAACAGAAAATGAAATACCACATGTTCTCACTCATAAGCAGGTGATGAACAATGAGAACACATGGACACAGGGAGGGGAGCACTATACACTGGGATTTATTGGGGGAATAGGGGAGGGACAGTGGCAAGGGTGGAGTTGGGGAGGGAAAGTATGGGGAGAAATGCCAGATGTGGGTGAAGGGGAGGAAGGCAGCAAATCACACAGCCACGTGTGTACCTATGCAACTATCTGGCATGTTCTGCACATGTACCCCAAAACCTAAAATGTAATTAAAAAATAATAAGTAAAAGACTTAGGGTTAATGAATGAGTTCAGCAAAGTTATTGGATACAAGATGAACATACAAAAATCAGTTGTATTTCCATAGGCTAGAAAGAATAATTTAAAAATTAAACTTAAAAAATTCAATTTATATAGCATAAAGGAATATAATACCTGTACAATACCTGTTGTAAGTACAAGACTTGTACACAAAAACTAGAAATCTTTGTTGAAAAAAATTAAAGATGACCTAAATAAATGGGAAGAAATCCCATGTTGATGGATTGGAATACATAATATTGTTAAGATGGCAGTACTACCCTAATTCATCTGTGAATTCAATGCATTCTTTGTTAAAACCCAGGTATTATTTTTGTTTCAAAAATTGACAAGCTGATTCTAAAATTTATATTTGTGTTCATATGCAAATGCAAAAGACAGAGAGTAGCCAAAACAATCTTGAAAAAGTTGGAGGACTCACACTTCCAGATTTTAAAACTTATTCTAAAGCTACAGTAACCAAAACAGTGTGGTACTGACAAAAGGATCAACATATAGATTCAATGGAGTGGAATCAAGAGTCCAGAAGTAAACCAATCCATTTATGGGTCAATTGAGTTTTTTGACATGGGTGTCAATTCAACAGGGGAAAGAATACTCCTCTCAAAAAATGGTGCTGGAATATTCACACATGAAGTAATGAAGTTGGGCTGGGTGCAGTGGCTCACACCTGTAACTCTAGCACTTTGGGAGGCTGAGGCATGTGGATCACATGGGGTCAGGAGTTTGAGACCAGCCTGGCAAACATGGTGAAACCCCATCTCTACTAAAAATACAAAAATGAGCTGGGCATGGTGGTGTGAGCCTGTAGTCCCTGTTACTTGGAGGCTGAGGCAGGAGAATCACTTGAACCTGGGAGGTGGCGGTTGCAATGAGCTGAGATCATGCCGCTGACCTCCAGCTTGGGCAACAGAATAAGACTTCATCTCAAAAAAATAAAAAGTAAATTAAGCAGAATGCAAGGTCTAGTATTGACAGTGAAGGGAACCAAAAGTTGTACTGATTGTAAGGGTGACTGGAAGAAAAATAGTGCCTGGTGTTAGCAATGAATGAAGTGGGATGCTGTGTCTGGTGTTAGAGGTGAATGGAACAGAATGTTGTGTCTAGCATAAGGGTGAATGGAGCAGAATGTGTATCTGACATTAATAGCAGAATGCTGTGTCTAGTGTTGATAGTGAATGAAGCAGAATATGGTTTAGGAGTTAACAGCAAATGTGGTGTTTAACACTAGAAATGTAAGAATCAAATTGAAGTGTGTCCAGAAAAGGGTTAATAAAACAGGCCTGAGGCTGCTATCTTAGAAAGGTCCTCTTGCAAGTTTGCCTCTTGGGTGCCATCTGGGAAGTTAGATTTTGGGTATATTCCTACTTTCCCTAACTGATAAAGCTGGCTCACTGTGCCTCGATTGTACAAACATCCTGGTTCATGCTGAACAATCTGCTTTCCTTTTGGGCATCTGGAATTTTGGCACATGCTAGGCAGAGGGTGCTGATGTGACCAGCTCCCAGTTAAAACATGGCACACTGAGCCTCAAATGAATCATAGAACAGTCTTTGTTTTTCTTTGTCTTTCCTTTTTTTTTTTGACAGAGTGTCACTTTGTTGCCCAGCCTGGAGGGCAGTGGGGTGATCTCGGCTCACTGCAACCTCCACCTCTCTGGTTCAAGTGATTCTCCTGCCTCAGCCTCCTGAGTAGCTGGGATTACAGGTGCACACCACCATGCCTGGCTAAGAGTTTCTGTTTTTCTGTCTTTTTGGGCAGAAACATTACACACAAGTCTGCATGTTGTTGCTGGAGTAAGAGTGCATTCTTTGTGACCCACTTGTGGGAGGGTGAGAGTAAGGAAGCCTGCACATGGATTCCCCTAGTCTCTGTCTATGTTCTTTTCCCCTGATGAGCCAGCTGTATCTTCTGAATATGTTGCTGTAATAAATCTTAGCTGTGGAGAGCCGAGAATGGGAGAAGAGCAGAGTATGTGAGCAGCACAGCGGCCTCCTCTCCTCTCCTCTCCTCACCTTGCTCTCTCAGCTTACCTTTACCCGCCCACCAGCTCGGTGCCCAGAACACCTTCCACCATGACGACCTCAGCAAGTTCCCACTTAAAGAAAGGCACTAAGCAGGTGTACATGTCCCTGCATCAGGGTGAGAAAGTCCAGGTCATGTATATCTGAATCCATGGTACTGGAAAAGGACTGCACTGCAAGACCCAGACCCTGGACAGTGAGCCCAAGTGTGTGGAAGAGTTGCCTGAGTGGAATTTCTTTTTTTTTTGAGATGGAGTTTTTACTCTTGTTGCCCAGGCTGGAGTGCAATGACACAGTTTTGGCTCATTGCAACCTCTGTCTCCTGGGTCCAAGTGATTCTCCTGCCTCAGCCTCCTGAGTAGCTGGGATTAGAGGTGTGTGCCACCACACCCAGCTTATTTTTTGTATTTTTAGTTGATGGGGTTTCATTATATTGGCCAGGCTGGTCTTGAACTTCTGACCTCAGGTGATCCACCTGCCTTGGCCTCCCAGGGTGCTGGGATTACAAGTGTGAGTCACAGCACCTGGCCTGGAATTTTGATGGCCCTAGTATTTTACAGTCTGAAGGCTCCAACAGTGACATGTATCTCATGTCTGCTGCCATGTTTTGGGACTCTTTCAGTAAGGACCCTACAAGCTGGTGTTCTGTAAAGTTTTCAAGTACAACTGAAAGCCTGCAGAGACCAATTTGAGGCACACCTGTAAAGGGATAATGGACATGGTGAGCAACCAGTACCCCTGGTTTAGCATGGAGCAGGAATATAGCCTCATGGGGACAGATGGGCACCCCTTTGGTTGGCCTTCCAATGGCTTCCAGGGACCCTAGCATCCCTATTATTGTAGTGTGGGAGCAGACAAAGGCTATGGCAGGGACATCATGGAGGCCCATTACAGTTCTGCTTGTATGCTGGAGTCAAGATTGTGGAGACTAATGCTGAGGTCATGCCTGCCCAGTGGGAATTTCAAATCAGACTCTCTGAAGGAATCAGCGTGGGAGATCATCTCTGGGTGGCCTGTTTTGTTTTGCATCATGTATGTGAAGACTTTGGAGTGATAGCAACCTTTGATCCTAAGCCTATTCCTGGGAACTGAATGGTGCAGGCTGCCATACCAACTTTAGCACCAAGGCCATGTGGGAGGAGAATGGTCTGGAGTACACTGAGGAGGCCATTGAGAAACTAAGCAAGTGGCACCAGTACCATATCCACACCTATGATCCCAAGGGAGGCCTGGACAATGCCTGATGCCTAACTGGATTCCATGAAACTTCCAACATCAACAACTTCTCTGCTGGTGTAAACAATTGTAGCCCCAACATATGCATTCCCTGGACCGTTGGCCAGGAGAAGAAGCGTTACTTTGAAGACTATCACCCCATCCCCCACCAACTGTGATCCTTTTGGGTGACAGAAGCCCTCATCCATATGTGTCTTCTCAATGAAACCAGTGATGAGTCCTTCCGGTACAAAAACTACGTGGACTAGGCATCCAGCCATCGAACCCCTCCTAGTTCTTTATCCCACTCCAACTCTTTCCCGTCTCCTAGTTGTTTCAATTGTAACTTGAAGGGTGGAATATCAAGGTCTTTTTTAATTCAAAAAATAAAAAAATAAAAATATCTTAGCTGTGAATACAACTTCATGCTGAGTCTTATGAATCTTTCTATCCAATCTCTGGATATGGGGTTAGTGTTGGAGATCCTGGACACAGTATATACTATTAATGGTGAAAAGAGCAGAATGTTGTACTTAGCTCTAAAAGTGAATGGAGGAGAATATAAGTTGAGTGTTAAAAGTAAATGAAGCAGAATGTGTGTCTAGTGTTGGTAGACAGTGGACCAGAATGCGGTGTCTGGCAACTCGTGTTGAACCATAATGTTGATTCTGGTGGCAGGTTTGATGGATCCGAAAAGTGTAGAACCTGGAAAGATCTGCAGGATCCTGCAAAGTATAGTACATAAATAAGTAGTGAATAATTCCTTTGCTTTCCATGTTTTAGGCAGCATAAGGAAGTAAATAATGGATACTTTCCTCATTTGTCCAGGTGTTCTATGCTCTTGGGCAATGGGACTTACCTTGGGTAGAGATGCTCGAGAACCAGAGCTCTGGGTGGTCATGGTGAGCACAGTGGTGATGCCTAGGCCCACACGAGCAGGTGCAGCATCCATGTTGATCCAGAAGGAGATCCATGACAGGATGACAATGAGCAGGCTGGGAATATACATCTGAATCAGGTAGTAACCCATCTGCCGCTCCAGGTGGAACCGGGCCTCAATGCAGGTGAATTTACCTGCAAGAAATTGCAGTGAGAAGGCAGTACAGCCAGGTGAATAGGACCAAAAGCTTTAGGGTTAGAACAACCTTGGCTCAAGTTCTGGTCCAGTCTCACACTCCCTGTTTCCTTAGACAAGTATTTGAATTGTTCTGTATATGTTTGTTGTGTATAATAAACTGGGGATAATAATAATAATAATATCTCCTTCATATAGTGACTTATGTGGTTAATGTGAAGATAAAATTAATGATGCTTATGAAAAGCTTAGCACAGTCCTCATACATTTTCAATATTCTGGATTGTCAATTGCCATAATTACCATTGTCATCATCATCAACAGCATCACTATTTTGTTGCTGAGAATGGGCCTAAGTGGCACTTTCTCTACCTTTCTGCCAGTTATCTTCCCAAAATATGATTTGATTCTGTTATTTCCTCTTTTAAAACCTTTGGTCCCATCCTTCTTTCCTCATACAAGGCAGTTCTCATTACCTACAGGAAAAAGTTCCAACTCTTTAGCCTGCCCTTTATAGTCAAGCTCTAACCAGTCTTTCTGTCCCCTTCCCCATTCACTCTTCACCCTAATCATGACTCCCTACATGCCATCCCTTGCCTTGAGCATGCCCTGAACTTTCATATTTCTGAGCTTCTGATCTTGCTCATCCCTTTGCCCAGAATCCCCTTGTTCCTTCCCACAACTAGCCAAAAAAATCCTCCTTCTCCTTCATGGCAGTATAAATGTGAGCAGCATTCCTTCTCCCCCAGGCAGAATGCTGCTTTTTTTTCTGTGTTCTTTGAACCCTGTTCACATGATCATCAGAGCATTTAAGACATAATACAGTGAGTGAGTGGGCAAGTCAGTCAGTCTCTCTCTCTCTCTCTCTGTCTCTCTGTCTTCTGCACTAGATTAGGCAGCTTGTCTCCTCCCTGTCTGTGTATCCCTGGAACTGGGATGGAGCTAGTCCTAGGATGGGGTTTAGTTCTTGTCTTCTGAAGCACAATAACTAGGGAATTTCCTGAAGCTCCCTGGACTCTAAGCACCATATAGTCAGGGTCTTGTCAGCCTTTTCTCCTTGCATCCATAGGGTCTAGCACAGAGCTCAGCCCTTACTAAAATGAACATGGTGAAGAGCAAATGAAATGAATGAGAATATGCTATGTATGTTTAGGCTGTTTCCATATCTTGGCTATTGTGAATATTACTGCAGTGAACATGGGAGTGCAAATGTGTCTTTGAGATACTGATTTCATTTTCTTTGGATATGTATCTAGAAGTGGAATTGCTGGATCATAAGATTATTTCTCAATGGACGAATGGATAAAGAAAATGAAACATTATTCAGCCTTAAAAAAGAAGGAAATTCTGCCATTTGTGACACTGTGAATGAAGCTGGAGGACATTTTTATATTAAGTGAAATAAGCCAGACACAGAAAGACATATATTGCATGATCTCACTTATATGTGGAATCTAAAACAGTCATACTTATAGAAGCAGAAAATAGAATGGTGGTTGCTAGAGGCCGAGGGATGGGGGAAATTGGGAGATGTTGGTCAAAGGATACAGAATTTCAGTTATGCAAAACGAATAAGCTCTGGAGATCTAATATACAGCGATGTGACTAGAATTAACAGTACTGTCCTGTATACTTGAAATTTGCTAAGAGGGAATATCACCTTTTCACTTTTTTTTTTTTTTTTGAGGTAGTGTCTTAAAAAAAAAGCCCAGGCTGGAGTACACTGGCACCATCTCAGCTCACTGAAGTCTCCAACTCCCAGGTTCAACCTGTCTCCTGGGTCAGCCTCCAAAGTAGCTGGGATTACAGGGTTGTGCCACCATGCTATTTATTTTTATTTTTAGTAGAGACAGGGTTTCACCATGTTGGTCAGACTGGTTTCAAACTCCTGGCCTCAAGTGATCCAACTGCCTTGGCCTCCCAAAATGCCAGGATTCAGGCATGAGCCACCATGCCTGGCCTTTCCCTGCCCCCCCACATTTGACGAGTTTTAAAATATATTCTGAATATTTGACCCCTATCAGATTTATGATTTACAAATATTTTCTCCCATTCTGTGGGTTCTTTATCTTCACAATGTATCCTTTGATTCACACAAGCTTTTAATATTTGTGAAGTCAAGTCTGTTGTTTTTTTCATTGTTGCTTCTGTTTTTGATGTCATACCTATGAATCTATTGCCAAATCTAAGATTAGTAAGATTTGCCCTCAGGTCTTCTTCTACAAGTTTTATTATTTATCTTAATCTTAAATTTAGGTCTTTAAGAGGGTAGATCTTAAGTGTTTTTATCAGGCATGTGACACACACACACACACACACACACACACACTGAGAAGTATGTAAGGTGATGGATATGCTACTTAGCTTGAGTGTGATAATTATTTCACAATGCATATATATCAGAACATCATGTTGCATACCTTCAATATATACAATTGTTACTGGTCAGTTATACCTTAAGAAAGCTAAAAAGAAAGAATAAAAGAAAATACTCTATTAAGAGTAAAAACTTGGTATGTGAAGGTCAGTTGTGGTGATTTAACTTGGGAGTCATTACTTTCACTGCAGCTATGGGAATACCATTATTGCTCAAGGGATGAAGATAGTATCTTTGGAGGTTCTGAAACAACTCTGAGGTGACTCAAAAAGAGGCAGCTGCCCAAGACAGACGATAGCCCAGGGTGCCTGCACTTTCACTGGGCTTTCTACTTGCACCAGAGCCTATGATTGTTTCTTTCAATCCCTCTCTTTCACCTTCTCCTCCTGCTGGCCTTCCATGCCTCTCTACTCTATGAAGCTGGGTTCAGATCCCGGCTTCCTACTCATCCTTCCAGCTGCTGTACCAACCAACTGACTTTCTTCCTCCATGCTTTTATGAACTTGTTCTCAACCCGAGACAGGGCATGCAAAGCCAGTCTTGATCCGGCCCCAGTCATCCAGATATTCAATCTTCCAAAAAGGCATGGGAGATAGAGAGCTGAGCTACACCATCGTGGCTTCTCTGCCTTGTCATAGCTCACAGGCTAGTGAACCCTTTCTAGCTATTTACTAACCTTCAGTGCCACTTCTAAGCTCCCTCTTGCTGAGGTCTTTTGTGAGCATTCTCTCTACTTTTGCTCTACTGGAAATGTCTCCTCTGTGACAGCAACTACTAGGTGTCTTCCCAATATCAGTTCTTCACTTCTGCCTTAGAAATAGGATCCATTCCACTACCTGGAATAATGACTGTATTTACCAGCTTCCCTGGTAATTAGGTACAACCCAAGCTTAAGCTACTCATTTCAGGGCTCACAGGAAGAAAATATCAGAGCCACTTTTTTGTTTCAAAACCTATTCTCTTAACCACTAGGTAATAAATACAGGGCTGTTCCCATCATGGGTACTTCATAAGATCTCTTGAATCAATGATTGTGTTTGAAACAACCTCTGGTCCTGGTTGTGGGGTGGGATCTGAGGAGGACGGCCCTTGTACCTACCTGTGTTGTAATGCTTGGTGCAGTATCTCAAGTCCTTCTCTTCCTTCAAGATAAACTGGGGCAGAGTTAGTCCATCTGCTACCTGCACGGCTCCCTGTTCCTGCCACTCAAAGATGAGGTCATTCATGGTATATCCAACTGGGATGGGATCAGAAGAAGGTTGGTTAGGGTTAGAGACTGAGAGACATCAGACACTTGATGGTACTTGTGGGACCATGTTGCTTTTCGTTTCCTCTCAAGGGAGGTAAAAACTGGTTAATTTTTATATCTACATCATAGCCCTTCCATCTCTCTTCCCAACTTTCTGCATTAGCTTGTACTGTTGTTTCCCCCCTCACTCCCATGGTGAAATGCAGTTTATATCTGCTATTTTCACCTGCACACTATCCTTGCCAACCTCCTCTTTTGCTCACAGCAGATATTCCTCTGCGGAACAACTCTTGCATGCTGTCTTGGTGAGACTAGCTACTGGCTGGGGTAGGAGGGGAAAGGTGTGAAATGGTGACTCGAGCTAGGCCAGACCATGCCCCAGCAATTCAGTGACTCTTGAGTGAAGTAACATAACGTTCAGAATTGGTTTGTGCTGATTCCCCTCATGGATAGTACTCCAAGGAAATGGTCCATTAGTTCCTGTTGCCTAAGTGCTCTGCCTTGGTTTCTGTATTTTTAAGTTAGTCAGATTGGTTTCTCTGTTTGCAATCAAAGGAGTCAGCTATCCAATCCGTTAAAATCCTGGTCCTCTGTAACGTCTACTCTAATACCCTCTCTCCTTCTCCATCAGAAGGAAGCATTCTTTCTGCCATAAAACCACAGTGCTTTGTACTTCTAACAACACACCACTCACTTGCCGCCCTTTGTTAGCGTTGTTTGTGCAGTCAGTTGTTTATCTCCCCTGCTGGAGTGAACATCTTGTGGGTTCAAGGACTGTGGCTTATTCAAGCCATTTCTTTTCCATTCACATTCACTATAGATGTGGAACAATAATCCATTGGAGAATGTGCTGGCTTCAAACATGGACCTCAGTCAGGCCACGTGAGGGAAGTTGTATTTCTAATTTTCTAAAAGCAGTCCTTCATCAAATATTTTGGGTTATTACAGTAATCTCCTGGGGTCTAGTGGTTGGGAGCAGCTGTGTGGGAATTTCTGCCTGTCCCATGGGTAAAAGGGAGCCTGGTTCTTTCTAGTGGACTCATGGAAGACACTCACAGCTTTCCAGTTGCATGATACATGTCTGGACATCCATAGGAAAATTCTTCAAGTCCATAGGGCAGGCCAGTGTCAGGGTGATTCTGGGAAGAGAAGGGAATTGAATGATGCCGGATCCACATATCAGGGAGGCTGTGCCTCTATTCTAGTTATAATAGAAAATCAGTTATCCAGGGTAGGGAAAGAAGGTCAGGGAACTGGTGTTTGTTTATTTATTTATTTTTGAGAGATACGATCTCTGTTTGTGGCCTAGGCTGGAGTGCAATAGCACAATAATGGCTCGCTGCAGCCTCGACTTCCCAGGCTCAAGCAATTATCTTGCCTCAGCCTCTAGAGTAGCTGCAACCATAAGCACATGCCACCATGCCTGCTAATTTTTAAAAAAATTTTTGGGCCGGGCATGGTGGCTCACACCTGTAATTCTAGCACTTTGGGAGGCCAAGGCGGGTGGATCACAAGGTTAGGAGATTGAGACCAGTCTGGCTAACATGGTGAAACCTCACCTCTACTAAAAATACAAAAAAAAAAAAAAAAAAAAAAAAAAAAAAAATTAGCTGGGCGTGGTGGTACGTGCCTGTAGTCCCAGCTACTCTGGAGACTGAGGCAGGAGAATCACTTGAATCTGGGAGGTGGAGGTTGCAGTGAGCTGAGATCATGCCACTGCACTTCAGCCTGGGTGATTTAGCAAGGCTCCATCCCCCACCCCCCCAATTCTTTTTTTTGTAGAGACAGGGGTGGTCTAGGCTGGTCTCAAACTCCCAGGCTCAAGCAATTCTCCCACATCAGCCTCCCAGTGTGAGCCACAGTGCCCGGCCACGACATGATTTTTATATCTAGAAAGCCCTGACAATTACACACACATGTACAAACTGTTAAAGCAAATAAAGGAATTTAGCAAAATTGAAGGATAAAAAATCCACAAGGAGTTGCAGCAGAGCAGTGGGAAGCAGAGTGCGGCCAGCTGCTTTGGGGACCTGCAGACCCTCTGGCCTTGGGCATGCAGATGAGCTGGGGGCCCAGGCCTGGCTGCAGCCTCTGTCCTGAAGGCTCCCAGAGCCCTTGCTGTGGCTCCCACTGGCTGGGCCTAGGCCTCAAGCAGCAATACACCTCTTTTCCCACCCCACCTTGGTGACCTGGTGGCCATCTGGTCTCCCAGCCAACTTTGCCCAGTCTAGACAAAGCTCCAGATAGCTGCTGGGACACAGGACCTTTGCTGGCAGTGGGTGTGGACAACTTATGTTTATTAAATAAATATATGTGTATTTCCAAGTTCCTGATTGAAAAATGGAGGCGTAGAGAGGTAAAAGTAGGTTGCCTAAAGTGACACAAAGTCAGTGAATTTCAGGGTTTCTTTGGAGGCTATCTGGCCTCTGGACACCTGTCTTTAGCAAGTCGCCTGGAGGCCAGGGGCTGCCCTGCTTCCTTCCTCTTCTGCATAGCCCTCAGGTAGAGACAGAGCTCAGATTTTAAGTTGAGCAGTGCCCATGTGCACCTGCAGCAGGTGTTGCAAGTGGTTCTTGGCCACCTTCTCCATGCATAGGGCTCATCAAAAGTTATTTCAAAGAGACCTCCTGCCTTTTGGGTGTCCAAACACAGCTGACTCACATTAGTGGCCTCATGCTGAGATCGGCTGGAAAGGGGGGTCTCCCCAGGATTCTAGGCTAGCTGTTTAGTTTGGTTGTTCAACCCTTACAGAGGCTACAGACTCAGAACCAGAGGGAGTCCCCTCAACAGAATTCAAGGCCTGCAGCTCAAGCTGGGATACGAGACTCCAGCTTGAAAGGCTTTTCCAACATCTGAGTGCCTGCTGCAGGGGATGAAGAAGAAAGGCTTTTGGAGCCCAAACAGCCTTAGATCATCAAGCCAACTACCTCATGTGACAGGTGAGAAACCCAGGGGGCAGAGAGAGATAGGTTGAGAGTCATCTGAGGTCACACAGCAAGCTGATATATCAGCCAGGATTCAAAACCATGGTCCTGGCCTTTGGATTTTGAGTCCCAGGGTGGGTTTGCTCATGTGTTTGCTGGCAGCACTGCTATCCTGAAAAGCCAACCCTAATATCCTAAGACACCTAATTGGTGGTGTTCTAGTGGAACTGAGCTGACGCTTTGGCTGCTTGTGGTGAGGTATACAGTCCTTTGTGAACTTCCTTCCTCCAGCTTACAACCACAGCTCTGGATGTGGGCCCCTTTAAGCACAACACTGAAGCAAAGGGGGGAAAATGAAAGGGAGATGGGGAGGGAGAAGATGGAAAAGAAGGAAGTGGAAAGAAGGAGAAAGTGAATACAGTTGAATTTCTACAGATAAAAGCTCCAAAGTGGGGCAGCTGTCACACTGTGTTAATTTCCTGAGGTGGAATGACCTTGGAAATATCACTTTCTGCTGATCTGTCCTTCTATCCTGCTGCACCAGGACTTAGCTTCCTAGAGAAAGGAAGCTAGCCTGGCAGCAGCAAAATACAAGCAGGCTGCCCTTACCATTCTCCCAGCCAGCTGGGCTGAGTGTTCATTTCCTAAGCCTGTCACTCTTCCAGTCTGGATGTTTACTTGGCGGGGATGGGAGGGTGGGCTCCTGAGTAAGGAAGGCCATGTGAACCTCAGGTTCCTCCAAGCCTGACCTCGATGATGAGGTATGTTTCTCTAAAGGACTGGTGCAGAAAGGGAAGACATTTAGGATGAGTGTCCCTTTAAGCTCTTTGAAATAAAAACATATTCATATATTGATCATATATTTGAGTGCCTATTGAATGCCATGCACTGCTATAGGACTTTGAGAGGGCATCAGATTCACACTAATATGGATTAGAATCTAGGCTCTGCTACTAACAAACTGGAAACTTCAGCAAGTTACTTAAAATTTCTGATCCTCACTTGTCTAATCTGCAAAATGGGCATAGTAAAACCTGGTTCATGGAGTTATTATGAGGGCTAGATATAACACATGAAAAGTACCCAGCATAGTTAGTGAATTCTCAATGAATGGTAGCTGTTATTATTGCATGAGTAAGGTAATAATAACGCCTCATGGTATTATTCATCTCTTGGATATTGGTCATTTTCCTTATGCCTTAGGAGAGAAGATCAGGGACTTGGTGTGGAGGGGCGGCAACAGACTCTGAAGGCTTTGCCCCTAACCAATATTTAAAGGATACTCCACATCTGGAGAAGATCTAAACTCCTAGACCCAATGCAAGGTTTGGGGGATAGGAAGATTTTACAGAAGGGATGGAGTAGCCCTGACCTTGACCACAAGCAACCCCATCTACCTGGCAGGCTCATTTGCTTTGAAGTTGCTGTGATTTCCTAGGTTTTATGCTTTAGCTTTTGCTATTATTAATAATGCTTCAATACTCTTTCCTATCTTGTTTGATTTAAATGTTGGATAACTTAAACCCCAGCTTCTCTAGGATGCCTTCCTTGGTCTCCTTGGTTGTAATAAACCATTGGCTCCTAGAATAAAATACCCCAAAGCTGATGTCTGAGCATTCAAACTATTCTGCCTAAAGAGAACAATTAATTCTCCAGCAGCAAAGGAAGGATGGATGGAAGAATTCTGTTGTGTTCCTGCTGGTCCTAGGGCTCATCCTACTCTGCTGTAATACCAGCTTTCTATAACTTACTGTGACATATGTTGATTTGTTTGGAAAGGTCTAATAGATGTCATGGAGTCACGTTTCACTAGCTTCTAAACTCAGTGCATATTTAATGTTTCTCTGATGGGGCTTCCATGTAGTTATTCCACTAAAAGAAAATTCATGAGTCAAATACCCTGTGGTATTTTATTCTTACTTGCTGAGTATAAGTTAAGAGCTGGGTCTGCCTATTCTACAAAGGTGTTGGTTTGCCAGGGCCTGTTCACCTCTGTTTGGCCCCTCTTTTAGGGTCTGCATCCAGAAGGTAGTGGGGCAAGGCAAGTTCTGAGGAGGGAGTGGGAGAACCTGATCAGAACTCACCTGATGCTGTAGAGGACATTCCCATTCCGGGAGATCCTTAGCAATTTGTTGTCTGTGGTGATCTCATGGAAGTGCGCCCCCTTCTCGTTGGCAAAGAACAGGTCAGGTTTCCAGATGGAGTCCAGCATGGATGGGTCCAGGTCCAGAGAGTCGTCAGGGTATTCATTATAGGCCAGGCGGGGGTCGTTCCACTGCTGCCGCAGGAAGATGTTGACCCTATAGTCCTATAGCCAGGAAACAAGGTGAAGGCAGTGTTAGGGCCAAGGACATCAACTTTTGGAGGACCTGGGTGCTTTTGGCCAGTAAAACCTTTTCTGTAGGTTGTTATTAAATGTGGTTGCATCTTATATGAGGGTGAGACATAAAAGGTGTGTATCAGACAAAAACCATGGGAGTCACAATTTCCCCCCAAAATCTTCTAAATGCCTGATGAGGTATATTCAACCCTGAACTGAGATTACATAAATGTTATTCTTTCTTTTGAAAAAAATTAATCTAAATAAAAGTTCAAAGATGTATGTAATAAACACTTGTTTTCATCATCCTGTTAATATTTTGTCATGTTTACTTCGTTTCTTCAAATAAGAGAAAAAATACATTGCAGATAAATTGAAGTCCCCCTTTTACCTCAACCCCAATAGTACAGGATTTCTTAGGCACACTATGATTTGAGAATCACTGGTCTAGACAGATTGAAGGAATGAAAGGAAAGAAAGCTGAAGTCTGAGCATTCAAACTATTCTGCCTAAAGAGAACAATTAATTCTCAAGCAGTGAAGGAAAGATGGGTGGAAGAATTCTGTAGTATTCCTGCTGGTCTTAGGGTTCATCTCACTCTTGTAATACCAGCTTTCTATAACTTACTGTGACATATGTTGATTTGTTTGGAAAGGTTTAATAGATGTCATGGAGTCACATCTTACTAGTTTCTAAACTCAGTGCTTAATGTTTCTCTGATGCAACCGCAGGGTAGTTATTTCACTGAAAGAAAATTCATGAGTAAAATCAGTTAGGGAAATGTTAGACCAGATGAAATACAACAGGTTTCTTTGTTCCAGGACTTCTCAGAGACCTTAATGTGCTGAGGAATTCTGTGCATCTCAAGAAGGGAGTAGAATATGATTTATTTTGGCCATGGAACTCTTTATTTTGTGCATGAGGAGCATCTTCTATAGAATATAGGTTAGGAATAGCTGTCCTAGTCAAAACTCCATCCCCACCTCCCACCTTTTTTTTTTTTCCAGATGAAGAAATTGAAATCTAGGGAGAATTGAGACTGGCTCAGTGTCACTCTGGAAATGTAGGGCCGGAGCTGATTCTAGAACCCAAGTGTTCTGACTCCTAGCTGAGAGTTTGCTCAATTGCCTCCTAGAGGAACTGAAAGAATCCATTCAGTTTCTATTCACAACATGAGGAGCTATTATGGTGTGAGTAGTTCTCAATAGCAGAAAGCTGGATCATGCAGTTAAGAAATATTTCCATTAAGAAAGTTTTTGGTCAGAGGCGATGGCTCATGCCTATAATCTAAGAACCTTGGGAGGCCAAGGTGGGAGGATTGCTTGAGCCCAGGAGTTTGAGACCAGCCTGACCAACATGATGAGATCTCGTTTCTACCAGAAAATACAAAAGGTAGCCAGGTGTAGTGGCATGTGTGATGGCCTGTACAGTAGCCTATAGTGCTAGCTACTCAGGAGGCTGGGGTAGAAGGATCACCTGAATTCAGGGAGGTTCAGGCTTACAGTGGGCCATGATCATGCCACTGTACTGTAGCCTGGGTGACAAAGTGAGACCCTGTCTCAAACAAACAAAACAAAAAAGAAAGTTTTAAATTTTATTACAGAGACATTGTAAACCTGGAGTTCATGAATATCATGACACTACAAGTAGAGTTTAGGAAATATTTGTGTTTCCCAAGGAGGAAGGACAGCTCTCTGTGTTGGATCTCCCAAAGGGTCTATAGTTCCCCAGGTGATTAATATCCTCAGTTCAAGTGCAACCTTAAATGCTCTCCTCCAAGGAGTAATCTCCACACATGAGGACCTGCTGTTGCTTTTTTCTTTGAGGGTGCTGGATAAATAAGGTCATGCAATATTTTCTTTTGTAATGCTGCTTATAAATCCTCATCAGTCTTGATCTGTCATCAGCAGGGATGAACTAAAACAAACAACCTTTCTCCCCACTCACTCTCACTTCTGCTCAATTCCTCCTACAGTGCATGCCTCTTTCTGTTTTCCTATAGAAATATCAATAGCTTTATATAATGTTCCAAGGTATTTTATAGGATTGTTATATAATTTAATGGCAGTTTCTTCCTCCATCCCCATAGAAAGTGACATTTGGCTTCATAATCTCATATCTTCTAAGTGCCATGGTGGTGGGAGAACTTCAGGTCTGGCCTGAGTGTTAGCTCTTTGTCCTGATGATGGTAATGGACAGCTCCCAATCTGGCCCCATCTGATCAGGGGATTGGGCATATTCTCACCTTCTCCTTCTCCCTTGGATTTTTCATGAAGTGTGTGTGTGTGTGTGTGTGTGTGTGTGTGTGTGTGTGTTTATGATGAGGCACTGGGCAAGTCACATTAGAGTGAACAGACTATGAATGGTTGGTCAGAAAAAGCCTTCAGTTCCCAAACCCCAGCTGCACTTTTGATGTTCTTGCCAGTGACATGTCAAGTCTGCTGTGTGGCTAGCAGGAAGAAAAGAAAGTGGCATTTCTTAAAATGGTCTGTTAGGCAGCAGGCGCCATTCTAGATACTGTCACATACATTTAATCCTTGCAAAACCCCTGCAAGCTAGACATTCGGATTCCCGTAGTGAGGGTAAGAAAACAGGTTTGGAAAGGTTGAGAAACGTGTCCAAGGCACAGGGCCAGTGAGTGGCAGAGCTGGGACTGGAATCAGCGTCAGCCTGAGCCTCTAGTGAGCACTCGTGATTTACATCACATGGGGTGGACAAGCAATCCTGTGTCAGGGACACTCTCTGTCAGCCTCATTGCTCAGGCAAATTCTGCCTTCTCAGCTTAAGACTTATCTCCTATAGGAGATTTGATGCCCCAGGCTTCCCTGACTTCTTCCTTTTTGATCTCCTAGCAAGATCGAATCACCTGGAACATTTAATTGAGCACTTCTTCACTGTGTATGTCTTATCTCCTCAGCTTGATTGGCACCAATTTGAGCAGATGAACCAGACCTTATATTTTCACTGCACCATCTCACCTAGTCACCCTGTCAGTCCACCTATGAGCTACCTGGTACCTATGAGAAGGAAGAGGAGGCAAAGTCAGAAAAAATTGGAACAGAATGGGCTTTTCTTATTTTATATCTGGAAAGACTGAAACCCAGAGGGGAAAGGTACTTCCTAAGGTCACACAGCAATTCAGTCCAGAATCTGGAATTGGAACTTAGCTCTGCTTCTCTGAGCCTCACTGTTAAAAGAAGTTAGGCTAGATGGTCTCTAAGAACTTTTCCAAGTTTAACAGCTAATTGTTAGTTTTATTTTTTCCAACAACATTTAACTGAACTCTCTTAAGTGCCAGATACTATTCTAGGCATTGAAGAATCCACTGAGAACAAGAAAGATATTTTTATTTAGCTCCAGAGCCTCCAGTGTCACTTTTAACCACACTGAGATAAGGGCTCTCATAGGGGTTAAGAGCAGGGTGCTAGGGAATATGGAAGACAGGTTCCCACCTGGACTTGTGGGTGGTGACCAGGGAAGTCTCCAGGCAGAAGTGATATGTAAGATGAGAACAAATATGGTTGAGCCAAACAGGAAAGGCATTTTGGGCAGTTGGAAGTGCATATGTGAAAGCCTAGAGGCAAAGCAAGAGTGTGGCACTTTGGAAAGAATAGCAAGTGAATGAATAGAGGAGAGGGAGAATGCATGCAGGGTCTTGCAAGCTGTACTGAGAAATTTGAACTTTTTCCTAATCATAATGTGGAGGGTTTGAAGAATTTTAGGTAGAGATGGAGATTATTACATTTGCATTTTATTACTAATGTTTAAAAATATTTTAGATGATGCACTTTATATTTTTTATTGTCAATTTGCATTGCTTATTTCAGAAGCAATATTTTCTTCTTTTCATCTAAAAGAAGAAAAACAAAATAAAACCCATCTCTTCATATTTCATAATGAGCCTCTCATTATGAAATGACTACTGAAAAGTTAAGAGTGAGAGATAGCGAATGTATCTTGGTGTCCTCAGGCAGCTTGACTCCCACTGGCGGTGACTGCCCTAGCAGCTGCCACCCAAACAAGTTGCTGCCATTGATTTCCTCCCTTAAGTTGGCAAACAGCAGTGAGAAATCTCAAAAGAGATCAATGTAATTGGTATAGTAGGTTGAAAGCTAAAGGCTGTTTTGCTTATTTGGCCATAGCTATAGTATGTTGGTTGATGTTCAACATGCTGGGAGCCATGTTCAAGTTCAGGGACTAGAGGAGAGGCAATCGAATTCTCCACCCTAGAACCTGAGTTCCACCCCTGGGAGCTGGTTTCTAGGTCCCAAACCCTCAAGGCTATCCCACAAACTGGAAGCAGGAGGGATTGGAGTTCTGGTTCAACAGTGTTCCGCATCAACTCACCCATCCTGCCTCTGCGATTCCCTGATGATCTAATTTTGGGTAACTGGGCAACTAGCTGCCCTGTTTATGAAACCAAGGTAGAACATTAACTCATTCATTTATTCATTCCACAGACATTTATTGAGGGCTTCCTATGTATCACCTGAAGTTGGATCTGTCCCCCACCTGTACCCCCACTATGCCTTATTTCAGATTCTAACCTTTCCTAATAAACTCCTCTAAACTCAGTATTTTGATGAAATAGGAAGCATGAAGTGTTTCAGTAGAATAGAGATAAGAGCTTGTACAAGAATGTTGGTGGGAAGGGGATGTGGAGAGCAAGACGTGGACCCATTGCAGTCAGAACCAAGAGATATTGCATCAAGAGGTAAACAAAAGAACCAGATTCTTATACCTTTGAAAGTCTCATTATTCCAACACCCAAGGGGATGCCTCATCTCTAAACTCAGTCCAACTCTATTAACATGTATTAGGCTGATTGGGAGTGCAGTGAAGGCAGAGGTACAGGGTCTTTGTTTCTATACTCATATAACTCAATTTATCTAGCAAGCAAGATAAGGCATGGACACAAATATCTACCACAGAAATCTGAAAGTGAGACAGGTCATAAGAAGTTCTAACAGGCTCATGTCTGTAATCCC